TGCCTTGAGAGACTAATCATGCTCCTCAACACCCAACATCTATCACTTAAGGTCATATACATAGGCCGTCTTAAAATGACATGTAAAGCTTACCTCCCCATGCAGCTGGTGAATTTGTGTAAATAACGCTATAGCTTTCCATTTATCATTACCCTAGAATTTTTTGCAACCACTTCTTCATTTCCTCTTCTCGACCCCGAAAAATCTCCCTAGGTGTCTTTCCTATCTTAGTTGCCTCCTTTGTAGCCTGCATGATAACGCTTCATGTCTGCCTCAGCTTAGAACCACATTAAACATCGATGAGACTCACGTTTTTACGGTTGCCTCTTTATCTTCGTCTCATTTGAGGGTTCGTGAGCACTTTAATTTGCATGACTGGGTAACTTAGGGCAAAACGTAACGTGAAATATAAGTTATTTGATAGTAACTCAGCTGTAATTTTTCGCATTTGGCTGCTTCCTGATAAGGATGTATCCTATTTGCATGATAAAAACTTACAGAAATGCCAATAGATCCTACCGTTTTCCTTTTTTCGTTCTATTTTTTGCCTATTGCTCCAAGGTATACCATAAGGGGTGTTGTAAATGCTTTCTAGGCACAACTCCCTTAGAGTTTAGGACATTTTCTAGTTCCGTTGCTAGTATCTCGATTAAATAATTTCCTAAAACCATTGGAATGTTTTTATTGTTAGTGTTCTTACGAGCTAGCTATGTGGCAAAAAGGCTGTTGGCTAATGATGCATTCATCGACTGCTTTTCCTGGCACAGCCAGTATTGTGGCAAGCTTGCGCTTTGTGATGATCCATCAGGGAGGCTAACTTATTTGTGGACTTATAGAGCAGGTGGCATCATTTGTCAGGAGCTCAGCTTCCAGCCTGGATTAACTAATGAATCTTCAAGCGAATTTAATTTCTTGAATTCACGAGGTCTCACTGCTAGTCGTGTCACACGGGACGACATTTTATCACCAATGCTGCTAGGGTTAAACCTGGCGTTTATTCAAGCTGCTCCCGATTCAAAATCCACTAATTTACACGGGCGTGGCCATTCGCATCATCTTATCTTCTTAGGATTCTTTATACAGCTCACTTCATCTGGTTTCTGCGAGCTGCCACTATCTCTGTAGCGTGTATACTCCTGGATCATCCAGGGTTCAAACAAAACATTTACACATTTCCAATTGTACTTTTGTGAAACTGCCCATAGTCTTATGGACCTAGATTTGTTCTTATTCAATATAACAACACATTCGTTTATGGGATATATTCGTTAAATGTGCTTTAGTATTCAGCTCAATTTTTACGCGGTGATGTGAGTTGGTCTCATTTTTTATCGCATTTCACACAGCCTTGCTTCCTAAAGGGTATTCTCATATGGAGTGGACCACAGTTTTGACCTCGACTAGGTGTCATTAGCACTCACAGTGGGACACGTCGCGACACGTTAAGAATTATGCCACGGGTGCCCTGCGGTCAGACGTGAATCTCAAGGAAGAAAAAGCCTTTCTTACATTGCCTTCTCTGATGGTGATGTCGATGGAGCCATGTATTTGCCATAGAAATAGACTGCGCTACTTATTTGTCGTTTATTAGTAGATTTTCAAGACTGACAGCACTCAAATTCGAACCCGCTATAATTATGCTTGAAAGCATTTCTTTTTCTATTTCGCAGGTGGGCTATTAATTTGCATATATAATCAAGGCTACTAAAGATACTTTAGAACCGTCTTGCGGGCGTTAGACACTACATACAATTTGGCTTGGATCCTAGGGTTAGTCTAATCACCACATGACTCGGTTAGTTGAATTTAGTTTTCCAATGTTTCCTTAGGCAATATTGTTTATATCGCGATGAGATCCAAACTTCTTATATTTCTCACCTTTACTCTGATTATTTTCATAAGCTTTAACGGAAAATGCAGATTCCTACTCGAAATTAGATTGTTAAAGGGGTTCAGAATCAAGATATCAT